GGGGGGGATCAGGGGGAGGGGGATGATAGGGAGGAGAAAAGGTGTAGCGTGTAGGGGGATATAGGAACTAGGAGATTTAGTGTGTTCAATAGTTTATGTGTTATTAAACTCTTTTCGCTAACTAATGATAACTAAGAGGATTGATAAGGATGTCAAACATGCTGAAAGTTAGGTTTAAACATATTTATTGCCGTACGTTAACAGGAGATTAGGTGAGGATTTCCCGCTTTCAGTTGTTTATTCTGACAGGCACAATGTCAGTTTTTTAAGTATGGTTTTGTTGATTCGTCTTTTAATTCCTGGGTCCAGTTAAAGTAAGTTTTAATTGCATAATGTTACATTAAGAGAAAAGAAAAAGATCATTTTTTTTTTTTTATAAATTTTAAGGACTAAATGCCAAAATGATAAAATTTATCATGTTAATTTCAACATAAAAATCATCTTGAATTCCAGAGTGTATAAGTATATAGTGAAGCTTGAATACCGTACTAGGGGCAATCACGTCTGTCATGGCGGACTAAGTAGCCAGTAGTGATGGACACTTATCGTCATCGATTTATCGTCGCCATTTGACTATCATCATCCCATCCTTATCATTCCATTGTCCAGCCCTCGTCGCATCGTTGTCATCCTCTCGTTGATGACATCGTATCGCCGTCCTCCCAGCGTCATCACCGCCATTTCGTCATTGTCATATCATAGTCATCGTATCATCGTCGGTATCTTCTTGTCGTCAATTCATCGTTGTCATCTTGTCTCGGTATCATCGTCATCATCTCATCGTAATAATTTCATTTTCATGTCTTATTGATGTCCCCTCATCGTCGTCATCAAATCATCGCCATCTTCATCAGCATCTTGTCAACATAACATAGTCATCATTGTCGTCATCATCGACGTCGTCGTCGTCGGGATTATCCTTCATCGTTAATACGGGGATTGGTAGTATCAAAAACTAACTTTATTTACATTTAGTGTATATCTTAGCAAGATAAAGGAAGATTTCAACTCCCGGAGGAAATGTGTGAAGTACATAGTAAGCGGTTTGATTTTAGTTTGTCTAAAAATATTGGCTTGTGAGGTGTACATGTTAGGCCCAACAACCGTGGGTCCACATTCGGAAGGTCCTCAAATTCCGGGACATTTTGTCAAACACATCACAATTCACAATAACATCACTTGATTTTCGTACTTATTGTATATACAGTAACATGAAGTACATTCAACGGCATAGGATTTAAGCTTTGCGAGAATGTGGAGTTATGATATCTTACATATATCAGTGGCGGATCCAGAGGGGTTTGTAGAGCTTCAGCCCCCCCCCCCC